ACGTGTGGAAACATGCCTTCCAGGGAGTCAGTCGTTCGTTCGCGATTTCGTACCCCGTAAATGTTCCCACAGTCCGAGAGAGAGAGAGAGAGAGAGAGAGGACGCGCGGATTCCGCGAGAGATTCTCTTCTCAAAGTTTCTCCTCGCACGCCCCTGCTGCGGAATATGGCGAGACCAGGGTGGGGAGGAGTTGGACGGACCCAAACCAAGCTGGGGGAGAGGAACGCGGGCCCTTATAACATGCCAAAACACCGATAATTCGACGGTGTGGTCCCAAACGTCAGCCGATATTCTTTCCCACGGAGAAGCCGCGAGGAAGAGGGAGGAACGGAGGGAAGGTCCGCGCGAGGACAAGCCGTAGAACCCGCCAAAAGAGATTCCTGCCATTCCGGCAGTGTATGTTCGAGCAACTGGGCCCACCTTCTCTCCTCAATCGCAAAAACGATAAATTAGTTGATTTACGCGCGCTCCTTTTTTTATCGGGGATAATTCTCATCCACGAAGGACGGACGGGCCCAAGGAGTGTGCGCACGCCCGTGTGTGAAAGAGAGAGAGAGAGAGAGAGAGAGATATTATAAAAAGATGCTCTTGATCGTAGCCATCTTCCGCCTCGGTCACTTCGACGACCGCCTCTTTTGCGTCCTTCCTCCTTTTCCTTCCTCCTCGTCATCGTCCTTTTACTTCTGCTTCTTATTCTTCTCTTATCCCTTCCCCTTATACCATCATTCCCTTCCAACTTGTTGTATTGGACGCATCATCGTAGAATCCCTTTCGAAAAACCTTCCCCCACCCCCCACCCCCCTACTCTCTTCGCAAGAGAATTGCCAGCAAATTTGAGTGGATTTTTTCTTTTAGTTTTTTTTTTAAATTAACAACGTATAATTGAGGAATCTTCTTTGAAAAAATAAGTAGTACGTACGGTACGGTAAGGTACGGTAAGGTACGGTAAGTACCCATCTCGAAAGATGATGCAGTTTTATGCAGTTTTGTGCAGTTTCGCGTGTACCCGGTAAAGATAACGATCAATCCGGTAGAAAAGGCGACGAAAACATTTAGAGGTTATATGAGAGGCCTTTGAGACGATAAAATCAAGGCGGGCCAATGGGGTGAGAGGAGGAAAAGAACCACGGAAGAAGAACAAGAAGAAGATGATGAAGAAGGCGCAGAACGACGCGTCGGATCGCACGCAACGGGCATCCTTGATGGGTACGGACGGGACACGACGCATTCAACGTCGAGTTGATCTCTCTCATCGTCGTCTTCGTCTTCGTCTTCGTCGTCGTCGTCGTCGTCGTCGTGGGACAGCACGATCGTCAACCCTCTCTCTTCCTTCCACCCTCCCTCATCCCCCAGTCAACGAATTTCGTATTCGTCCGGCATAATGGCACGAAGTTGTCTCCCCCACCCAC